ATTTGTTTTCAACAATGGTGTCCTCCTTGGTCGTCTCCCATGAAGTCCACTTTGGCTTAAACAATGACAGATGGTGCGATCTGACACTGATGTACCTTGACCTTGGAGTTCACCTTTAATGTCTTTAGAGGTTGTTCTGGGCTCTTTTGTTACCATTCGTATTATCTGTCTCTTCGATTTGTCATCAGTTTTCCTCCTGCGGCCACGTCCAGGGAGGTTGGCTACAGTCCCATGGATCTTAAATTTCTGAATATGTGCAACTGTAGTCACAGGAACATCAAGCTGCTTGGAGATGGTCTTAGAGCCTTTACCTTTAACATGCTTGTCTATAATTTTCTTTCTAATCTCCTGAGACAACTCTCTCCTTCGCTTCCTCTGGTCCATGTTTAGTGTGGTACACACCATGTCCCCAAACAGCACAGTGACTACTTGTAACCTTATAAATAGGTCGACTGACTGATTACAAGTTTGTAGACACCTGTGATGCTAATTAGAGGACACACCTTGATTGAACATGTTCCTATGGTCACATTATTTTCAGTCTTTTCTAGGGGTACCATCATTTTTGTCCAGGCCTGTTTCATAAGTTCAAAACCAATGTCTGATTTTCATTGCTTAATTTTCATCGAATTTTTATTTATTATTACTTTCGTGAGATTCAAGTTATTTCTGTGACTGTTGTGGGTTTTTCTTTCATTACCGAGGGGTACCAACAATTTTGTCCACGTGTGTATACGGACATTAGTTTTTCAGATGCAACTGGATGAAACGGAGCACTCCATTTGCCAAACCAGATGGCCCTTTGTTCAAAGTTCCCATGTACTCTGAAATATGTTTTGCTTAAGTTTTATTTCACTGTGTGTTCTTGCGTCTGTACGGAGTGTGAAACTACTTTTCACATTTAAAATCAACAATGTCATTCTGACTAGAAGAGCTCCACTGTGACTAGTCAAAATTTTTATTCCAGATTTTATTACATCACTCTAACCAGCCAAAACGACACTTGTAGATATCTTTGATTCTGTTTCGACCAGTCAAAATGATAGTTACAGATATCTCAAACTTCCTTATGGCTAGTCTGAATTGTTGTACAATTTGCTTCTAATGTGATGCTTCCCATTGAACATTGATCGAGCAAAGCATTAGAACAGTGTTAGCAGAAGTAACAGCAGTGATTGTGGTGCATAAGATCACTAGACATAACTGTGAAACTGAAAGGGCTCAACAGTGACGAGTTTGAGAAGAACAAAAGCTTTGTTTAACAAAGATTTTTGGTCAAAATTTATGCAGTTATTTAGTTAGAGTTGCAGCACCAAATACGTCTGAAAGGCAGTCGCCTCCCACTTGCTGTAGCTTCTGACATAATAACTGACTCGGATTTCACCTGCCAAAAACTCTAATTCAAGATATCTGTAATTAAGTTATGACTACACAGAATTATAGTTTGAGATATCTGCAACATCATTATGATTGGTTCAAAATGATTTTAAAATACCTATATGTATACATACCCCAAGGCCCTACAGAGGGGGAAGGGGTGTGTAGAAAATGGATTGTTAGATATTGCATAGATATGTTGAATTAAGTGGAATTACAGAAATCTTGAACAGTATAATGACTAGCTAGAATCAAACTATAGATGTGGGGAAGTGGATTTGATACAGGTAATATTTCAACTGCAGATATCCCCTATTCACATTGTGGATATCTGTCGCTGAATTGCAGATATCTGTAATGAGAAACAAATGAATGGTCAAAGTGATGTCATTTATCCTTGAAAGACTGCCAATGTGGATATCTGAAATTGTCTTTCAGACTAGGAGGAGCTAAATTAAAGATATCTGCAGTACATAGCCAGTCTAGCTAGTAAATGTAGAAACAGCTTGCCATAGAAGGTTGTTGTACAGCTTCTAAAGCTTAAAACATGTTTTGGGATGTAAACACAGAAGCATTATTCATGACAGCAAATATTTTTGGAAGCCAACCCTTTAAGAATTAAACAATATTGTTTCAAAAATAAAACAAAAAAATGTATTGTGCTTTTTAGAATTGTAACATTTTTTGGGACAAACTGATGGAACACAGTTTACTGTAGCTGTGCATGTCTTATAGAAGTCTTAAAACCTGACTGGGGGACCTTTAAGGCTCTTCTGCCTTTGACCCCTGAACTGACTGTATCTGCTTGAGCAACACTTTTATTATGATAGTCATTCTATGCAGAACACAGACAAGTGCTGTGAAGAAAATCACCACTGTAAAAAGCATTAAAAGAAAACACTTACAATCTGACACACAAATGGTAAGTTGATCTGATTGATGCCGCCAGCAAAAACTCCAAATGTCAGTCCAGTATGAAAAAGGAAGTTGAGGAGTGTGTGCCAGCCATTCCTGCTGATGCGAATCACACTGCAAACAATGAATAGAGCTAAATGTAAGACAGATGGACAACCCTTAACATGTCTTTGTCCCTGCTGGTCAAACACACTAAACTAGAAGACTGTAGAAATGCACAAAGCTGTCACACTGCCATTTTGGATATGGCAAGTATTAAAGGATAAATGCAACATTTACATGTGTAGAATAAGCCACTAAAACAAGTAACACAAAAACCCCAGCTATAAAATGTGTTGGTAAAATTCCATATCATATGAACACAGTTATTCAAGTACTAATGTTATATATACTTTTTAATATAATAATGCATTCTGTGCTTTCAGAAAACTTGTTGCATTTTGAATAAAACCAGTCAAATGTTTAAATGATGCAGCACAGGATTAAACTCTGCTTGAATAATAAGTTGTAACAAAATATGCTCAGATTGTTCAAGTGCTTCTTGACACAAAATATTTATTGAAAGAACTGTTGCTATTCATTCTGGCCCTCACATTAGTGTTGATGAGATCACAGTCAACAGCCTTCTTTCTGTTCTACATAAAATCTCAAGGTGAGTTTAAGCAAAAATGAGATTTGAGCAGTCTGTTACCAGGTTCATACTGCAAGACAAGGTCAGTCACTGTGGGACAGGGGCCAACTACCCAAAACAACAATGTATAACAATATTACAGTGTATAAGACTGTCTGTTTTGCATTTGGAGGAAATAAAGAAGAAACAACTGTGGAGCCATGTGTGGTTTAGTAAGAGGACAGTATGGACAGTGAAGGATATTTCTCCTTCGAGCTGCTTTTAACTTTGCTATGTTGTGCACTGAAGAGTCATAGGAATGTTGTTGAAATTGTCACCAAATGTCAGCAAAGGAACCAAAAAAATCTAGAAATCTGGAAGGCCAGTCTTTTAGTCGGGGCATCATGGCAGCATTGGTCATCGTCAGCAATAATACACCACATGGAATAACTGTCAAGCCCTTATATATGTTGAAGAGTTTCATTTGCACACAGACGAATGACAAACCAAAGGAAAAGCCCAAGCAAATGAGTGAAGACACACAAATGCAAACGCTCCCAGACAGGTGCCCTACATGGTACAACTAAGCAACCGGCTTTCAATCATGCTTTGTGGTGTTTCTTATTCATTCTCATTTGTCATACTTCTTAAACTCAGCTCTGAAGTTATTTGGATCAGCAGTGGCCATTTTTGGCTGTGGCATCTATGTTTGCTGATACACTTGTTTTATTAATGTTTTTATACTTTCTACTTTTTAAGTATTTTGAAGCATATTGAGGCCTTTACAGCAAACAAGGACTCTTGAAAACACATATATATGCATATAAATATTGCATCAGATTAAAATGTGAAACTATTCTTTCATAGGATCTCACCTGTGGTGGACAATGTAAGTCATTATGGAGACGAGCAGACAGAGCAGCATGACTGCAGTGCAGGCATACACCACTGGATGCAGGTAATCCCCAGGGTATGGAGGGAAGGACAGCACTCTCTTCAGATCCTGGCAAATGATAGAACTCCACAATTAGTGGTTTGTCAAAGAAAAGCATGGTGAAAAAATATTCCTTTTGGGTTTTTTTTCATACCAAAAGCAGAAATAAAACTACATGAAAAGTAACATTTAAAAACAAGAAATACAAAGTGATGTATTCCACGCTTCATTACAGAAATAAAACTAAATAAGTGGCGAACAAATTGATCACTGTTTAAACAAAGTGATTCTTCAACCTGCATTCATCTATGGAATGGCCTTTTTTTTCTTGGAAGACAGTTTGAACTAAATGGCAGTGAAAACACAGGGTAAACAGATCAGCAATGCCTCTGTGCAATCAGGTATCTCCATCAACTATGCCAGGAGGCCATCATGCACAACACCAGGAGCCTGGAACGAGCTCATCTAAACAGAATGAGCTGTTGTCAACGTTTTCGATTGCTCTGAGCCTCTCCTCTAATGACAAGCCAAAATGTCTGCTGTGAAAAAGGTATGTCATACTAAAATAGCTTCCTCCATCTCCCAAAATATCTCACATTCAGAAGTTAATTCATCCTCATACCTGTTGCACTGCAATTAACAAGAGGAATCATGTATTCAGTAACCCTCCATCGCTGTCAGTACATCAGTTCTTGGAGGAAATGGATTCATAGATCATGTAATTGCTACAAGAAAAGCTGAGAAAAAAGTGTGAAAGTGTAACCCACATTAAAATAAGATTTCGTAAGGATTGAACCTATTGATCCATTGATCCACCAAGAAGGATTCATTAAAATGCCTGGGTACAGTTATTGGTCAAACTATATACATTTTATTAAAAGTATGCAGTCAGCAAACTCTATGGACACTCCGGCTTTAATGGCTCCTCCCCTTTAATTCTCTCCGTGGTGGCGCGAACGAGACACACATACAGAACAAAAGACGGAAGGAGAAACGATAACAGAAGTGAGAAGACTGTAAACCGAATAGGATAGGAAACAGTTGATTAGATCCTGGAAAACAATACCTACATGACTGGTGACTCGTGAAGACAATGCCTAAATGAGCTGTTATGGTCTTGGTCAGGTTTTATGTCCCCATTGAAGTCCCTGTTTGAACTCCCTGTTAGAAGCTCAGGTTAAAGAGGAGATTTTTCCACGATATGAGGGAGACATCACAAATGTCTCATCACAAGATGGCGAGCCAAACCCAGGAACCACGTTTGTAGCTCCTTCGCGTCACTGAGAGGATGCAGTTGGTCTGTTGATGACTCGCTGCCCAAGCGGTAGTAGTGAAATACACTTTTGAATTGAACCGATACATGGTCTGATCTGAATTGAACAGAACTGATGCATGACTTGATTTGAATTGAACTGAACTGATACCTGATTTCATCTGAGTTGAACTGAACTGATACATGATTTGAATTGAACTGAAACTGAGTTTAATCGAATGGATATGTCTTATGTTATGCTTTGTTGCTAATGTTATGTTCCATGTTTGTTAAATATTACAGTATTTCAAATACCAATGATCTGGTTTTTGGGCTTCTTTTGCATCTGTTCCCCACTGCAGTAGAACCCAGAACTGGTCCAGTAGCATATATAGTGTGGTAATTGTGATACACTCGCTTCAAAAGCTTTTTATAAAATGATCACATCAAGTGCTGTGGATGTGGAAATAACATTAAATTGCTAGTCTGGCCCACTATCAACCTGGAATGATGGCAGTCCACTCCTGCTGTCAAATGTGTTAACCACAAATGGCCCTGATCTCCCCTACAGTTAGGTTCTTCTGGTTGGGGGTCATTCTATGCATAATGTTGGCCTGATCATAGTAGTAGATCTAGTCCAGGGGTCAGCAACCTTCAACACTCAAAGAGCCATTTGGACCTGTTTCCCACAGAAAAGAAAACACCAGGAGCCACAAATTCCTTTTGACATCTAAAATGAAGATATTATTGCATATATCGTTTTTTATCTTTATGCTGTATATAAAAAACTATAGTGCTGGGGCGGCGCTATAGCTCACCTGGTAGAGCTGGCGTCCCATGTGCAGGGCTACAGTCCCAATGTGGAGCTCATGAGTTCGAATCCTGCTCATGACCCTTTCCCACATATTCTTCTCCCCTACTTTCCTGTCTCTCAGACTACTATGCTATCCAAAAAAATTACTTTAAAAAAAACTATGGTGTGTTGCATTTATGAAATCAATGAACTGTTCAAGAGAAACAACTCCGAAAACAAAAAAGACACTGGGTTGAAGGTTACTTTCAAATAAAATACTCAATGTCTCCTTGAGTCCTCCTTGTATATAAAATAAAAATCCAAACTTAAATTATCCACCTGCAGCAAAATAAAAATGCTGTCTGGTTGTCCTGCTGACTGCAGCTGGGACTGCTGCTCCAGACTCCTGACCGCCTGTGAGCGCTTTGGGATGGGAGGAGCTCACGGTGGCACCGCTGCTCGCTGAGGACAGTAACTGCAGAACAATACGCATTGTCACGTCAGAGTCTCCAAAACACCAGAAAAGTCTCCAGTAACACCAGAAAGAGTCACTAGATTTGTCGCAAGTCGCTTTGACAAAAAAAAAAAAAGCAACCAAGAGATTTTGGAAAATTGCCAGATTTAGCGAGAAAGTCACCAAGTTGGCAGCGCTGTGCGTGTCGGCAGGTGTTGCACATCAGCAGTTGTGATGCATATTTTGAGCGACAAAAAAATTAAACACGTTGTATTTTAATGTCATAAGATCACCATAACATTCGAATTTAGAATTACATTTTTAAAACTAACTAAAATAAAATACATTTAAATTAAATGCTCATTATTTATTTTCCAAAGCCACAAGGAGCCGCAGCAGAGGTATGAAAGAGCTGCATGCGGCTCCGGAGCCATGGGTTGCTGACCCCTGATCTAGTCAAATGGATCAGAATAATTTTGCCTTTGCTTTACCCTTGCATTAGTACTTATACAAACTGAAGTGCATTTGGACAGTGAGGCAAATGCTTAGCTTGGCTAGCAAAGTGAGCAACGTAACAAAAGAATAGCTACATTTAAAAAACAAAAAGAAAAAAAGTAAACCGAAAAATCATTTGAATCAGTTTTGTTGTTAGTTTTTTGTTGACCAAATCTGACTCTAAAACACTTTTTTGATCCTAAAGAGATTAAGACAAATTGCAATCATTGTTTAAAGTAAAAAATAGAAAAGCCTTTAGATCCACAAGAAGGGATAAGGGCAAAGAGAACCACCCTGTTCAATGAGCAAAACAATGCAGGGTGACTTCAGATTCATGAACTCTGCAGATTGTCTTTAACGCAGCTGACTGCTGGCCCCTGTTTCTTGTCTTCAGCTATGTTACCCATTTCCTGAGTCCAGCTGCAATCACAGACATGAAACAAATCTTATAATACCACTCTCAATTGGAAAGTATTATCTCCAAAAATAGATATCTCCACCTTCACCTGCTATCTACTCTGGTCTGACATGCTACTGAACTGTAAGAACGCTTGTATAGAAAATAAAATATGTTGTATGCATACAGAAAGTGCTGCAGCCAACAATGCTGCCATGAACCATCAGCAGTCTCAGTCACGGTTAGAATGAGAGCATAAAGCCCAGAGACTTACTGTCAGTGGTTGGAATGAGCTGCATGTTTCCAAAGCACTTCACAATTACTCAAGCCTCTGTCAGCACCATTGCATTAATAAAGTCTCAGAAACACACAGGGTGCTCTTTACATTCAAATTAAAGTATGAATGAAAGTGCTGAATTTGGATTTTAAGGAAAAAATACAAAAAGCATTCTTCCAACAGCACCTACTTCTATCTTTAAAAAATAAAAAAAAATATTAAAAAACGGTAAATAGTCAATGCTTGCATCACTTGTACGACCTTTTCTTGGTTTGGTTTATTTACACTTAATTTATTGAAGCTTTGTCATTGATTGGTTCAGCGACTCGAGCACAGAGCAACAGAATGAATATAAACAGGAAAATTTATTATACAATAAATACACACACACACACACACATATATATAAAGATAGATATATACACACAGGCCCCTCTCAAAGGGGAATGTGCACATCCAGGCCCACCCATAGCTCCGCCCCTGATGTTGAGGTTCATTGGTGATTCTAAATTGTCCGTCAGTGTGAATGTGAGTGTGCTTGGTTGTCTGTCTCTAAGTGTAGCCCTGTGATAGACTGGCAACCTGTCCAGAATGTCCCCTGCCTTCGCCCCAAGTCAGCTGGGAAAGGCTCCAGTCCCCCGTGACCCTAGGTGAAGGCAGGTTCACCTGGACGAACCAGGGATCTTATATTTTATTTTATTTTTTTTTGACACTATTAGATACCCTCACACTTCTACAATGCAGATTAAGGTATAAACCAAAAATATATTGCTTGTAAATTTTTCAGACCTTATTGGTGGCAATAGCAAACACACCAAAAATATGTTTTCATCATTTGTAAAAATATTAATAGATGTCAGAAAAATAGATTCAATTGCTTCACCTGTTTTTCTAAGAAATGATGTCTGGTCTGCTACTTTTCATGGTGGATGGGTCTAAATGCTGCAATACCCATCATCCTCAGCATAAAGGACAGGTTGCAAATTCCAAATGCCTCAGTATCTCTACTGAGAACATAAAAGCACCACAACACTTGAATTCACCCACAGCTGACCCAGAATTAAAAAGAGAATTGCTTTAAGCAGATTGTTCTTAGTTTTCTCAACATCTTTAAATTTTAACCAATGCAAGAGTCTTAATGTCTTGATATTTTTCTGAACCATGGCTTGTGATCTTAACTTTTTGTCAGAGGGCTTTACATAGTTTAACAGACTAATTAATATTTTATACTGATTTGAGTGAGCAATTCTGATGCTGGTTAAAACTGTAGAAGTGCTCCAACTATGACTTACCAAACATTCTACTGGAAAATAATCCGACTTTTACAACAAGCTGCCGTAAATCAGATGAAGACCTACCACTGAAATGTCACATTACTACATGTGTCTTTGCAAGTGACAG